GCGGCCCCCCGCCCCGCCGGGCCCAGCTGCGCCCGTGCCTCCCCCCGCCCCCGTCACTCCCTCTGCCGCACCGGCCTCCCCGCCGCCATTTTGCCCTAGGAGGGGAGGGGGGAGAGCAGCGCGCATGCGCTGGGGGAATCCCGCCCCCGCCGCCCGCACAGGCACTACCGGAATCGGCGGTGGTGGACCCCGCGCGCATGCGTAGGGGCTGGACCGTCTGCTGGCCGGCGCTTCTCTGCACAGCTCCTGCGAGCTGGGGCGGGACGGGACAGGAGGAGGTGGTTGTGACGCAGGCGCGCAGCGCTCCGCAGCTGGCCGGGCTGGGACCCGCGCGGGGGGTCCCGGGGACAGGCGGCCGCAGGCGGGGGTTGTCAAGCAGGTGCCCGTGTTCTGGGGGGTGCCCGGTCTGAAGGGCCGCCTGAGGTGTGAGCAGGTAGGAAAAGCTCAGGACAAGCCCAGCCCTGTGCCAGGGGCTGCGGGTGCAGTCGTTTCTGCACTGAGGTCCGCTCAGTTCACAAAAGGGCCGCCGCGGCCCAGGGAGGGCCGCCTCCAGGCTCCTGAAGTTGAGGAGCACGGCTTAGCTGCTTCTTCCTGCCACTTCCACCTGCCCTCGACCCTTCTGCTCCTGTCCTGGCAGAGACTGAACGACAGATACTTAGCAGCAGCAGCTCTACAGAAAAGGGCCTGGGGGTCACAGTGGACAATAGGAGCATCCACCTGTGCTGACTTGAGTTGCTTTAGCCCAATTTAAGGCACATTAAGGGCACACGTCTACAGGGCTGGATTAACACACAGGCAAACTAGGTACATGGCTAGGGCCCTAAGTGAAAAAGGTCCCGAGTTATATTTATTTTACATATTATAATTATTGAGTGAAAAAAAGTCATATAAATATACCATATTAAATTGGGCCCACAAGTTTGTTTGCCTACGGCCCACTAAAGGCTTAATCCGGCCCTGCGTATCTACATGTGTGTGCCCTTAATGCACCTTAAAAATGGTGATTTTAGGCTATTTGCACCTAAATTTGATACCTACAAAAGCAAGTATCAAATGTAGGCGTGACTAGCTAAAGCACCTTAACACATGTAGACATGTTAAGGCACATTAACGCTGTGTATGTTGACTAAATTGAGACTAGCTTTAGTCCCAAATAGGTCCACGTGCCGTGTGAATGCGCCTTAGTGTGTGCATGTGTAGATACGCGCCTAAACCACCTTAATGTGTGTTAGGCAAATGCGAATTAAGTTTAGTCATGCATAAAATCACATATAGATGTGCCCAATAAGATGGATATGAGCCAGCAATGTGCCCTTGTTGCCAAGAAGGCTAACACCATATTGGGCTGCGTTGGTAGGAGTGTTGCCAGTAGATTGAGGGAAGTGATTATTCTGCTATATTCTGCACTGGCAAGGCCACTCTGGAGTACTGTGTCCAGTTTTGAGCACCCTACTATTGAAAGGATGTAGACAAGTTGGAGCATCCAACGGAGAGCAACAAAAATGGTTCAGGAGCTGGGGCACATGATTTCTGGGGAGAGGCTGAGGGAACTGGGTTTATTTAGTCTGCAGAAGAGAAGACGGGGGATCTATAGCAGCCTTAACTACCTGGGCCCTCGAGGGGTTCCAAAGAGGATAGAACTAGACTGTTCTCAATGGTGGCAGATAACAGAACAAGGAACAATGGTCTCAAGTTGCAGCAAGGGAGATTAAAGTTGGGTATTAGGAAAAATTTTCTCACTAGGAAGGTGGTGAAGCACTGGAACAAATTACCTAGATATGTGGAATCTCCACCCTTGGATGTTTTTAACGCCAGGCTTGACAAAGCCATGGCCAGAGTGATCTAGTTGGGGATGGTCCTGCTTTGAGTAAGGTGCTGGACTAGATTACCTCCTGAGGTCCCTTCCAACCCTAATTTTCTATGATTCTATGATATTTAGCTGAATTCACAAATTCATTAGAATTGGACCAGGCCATGATGTGGACGCTTCTGCTATGGCCATTATTCATAGATTTCATAGACATTAGGGCTGGAAGGGACCTCGGAAGATCATCGAGTCCATCCCCCTGCCCAAAGGGCAGGAAGTCAGCTGGGGTCATAGGATCCCAGCAAGATAAGCATCCAATTTTCTCTTGAAGGTGTTCAATGTAGGTGCTTGAACCACCTCCGATGGCAGGCTATTCCAGACCTTGGGGGCTCGGACAGTAAAGAAATTCTTCCTTATGTCCGGCCTGGAACGGTCTTGCAGTAGTTTATAACCGTTCGACCTCATCATCCCTTGGGGCGCTCTGGTGAACAAACGTTCCCCCAGATACTGGTGGTCACCCCTGATAAACTTATAGGCAGCCATCAAATCACCCCTGAACCTGCACTTTTCCAGGCTAAAGATCCCCATAGCTCCCAGCCTGTCATCATAAGGCCTATTTTTCTGACCTCTGATCATGCGCGTGGCTTGTCTCTGGACTCTCAAGCTTCTCCACATCCTTTTTGAATTGCAGGGCCCAAAACTGGATGCAATACTCCAGCTGTGGCCTCGCTAAGGCCGAGTACAAGGGGGGAATGATGTCCCGGGATTTGCTTGAGAAGCATCTATGGATGCAAGCCAGCATTTTGATCGTTTTCCTAGCTGCAGCATCGCATTGAAGGCTTATGTTCATCTTGTGGTCAATGATGACCCCCAAGTCTCTTTCTTCCGTAGTGCTAGCCAGTGTAGCACTGCCAAGCCTATAAGGATGCTGCAGGTTTTTCCTCCCACAGTAAAGAACCTTGCATTTTTCAGTGTTAAACACCATCAGGTTCTCGTCCGCCCATTTTCTGAGCCTGTCTGGGTCAGCCTGGATCGCCCTCCTGTCTTCAGGTGTGGATGCTTTGCCCCAAAGTTTGGTGTCATCAGCGAACTTGGCCAGTCCACTTCTGACTCCAATGTCCACAGATTATAGTAGATCTAGACTGGAGGTGCTGAGTCAGTGGGGACCTGAGAGTGCTGGCCCCCCTTGGGAAGAGGGCTGTCATCTGAAATGCATAAAACTTTCCACAGTCCATCATCTTAGCCCCCCCTCCTCCCCTCCGGCAAAAATAAGTCAGCACCTATGCTCTAGACCCAAGTTGCCCCCAATGCTGACCACGCGTGACTGACCCAAAGGCTGCCCAAGATTGCAGAGATGAAGTTTGTAAACTACTCCAACTGCACCGAACGATGCCAAGTTTTTGTTTAATAGATTCTGTGTTACCAAGCTATGCGCCACATTAATCACTGCTGTTTCAAAGGCAGTCACTCTTGGTGAATCTCTTTGTAGATTCAATCCCCTCTAGGTTCTCTAGCCCAAAAGCTAGATGATGAGAGGCTTAGGAAGCTACAGTTCCAAGGAGTTTAGAATAAAATCAGAGAATATCAAGCTGTGCAGTAGTCAGTGAACAAGATTTTAGATGTCTATGTAAAAAAAGTGGTAAAAATCCTTCCTTATAAAAAGGGACAAAATATCAAAACTGCCTTCAGTCTGAAGAATCTGTTTTCAAATAAAGCCATTTAGTAAGTGTGATGGAAAATTATATTTATGAGAGCTATTGATCATTAATGTTAAAGCCGCCATTTTTATTCTTAGGATACATATAATTCAGGAAGGACAAGAACAAAGGGATAAAGGAAAAACTTAATATGCTTCCTTTTTTTCAGTCCAGAGTGATTGATACTATGCAAGTCCAGGCATCTGTGAAATCCATGTGCAAGAGTGCTGCTATTCAGATTAAAGACTTTGACCCTAGTGTTTTCCAGTAGAGCTGTTGGCCCTATGAGAGAGAGAGGCAGCACTCAAGTCTGTGGACCAAAAAGACATTCTAAATGGCTGTTGATGCCACGTGTAAGGAGAGCAATGTATCAGAGAGAGAGTTTCAGTCTCAAAATTGATTTGAGTACTCAAAAACATGGAAGAAGTAAAGGACCTACCACTCACTGGAAAGGAACACTGCCAAAATTTAGATCTCTGTTTAGCAGTAGTTTTGTTAAAAGTCTGCCACAGCTGTAAAAAGCTCTTAAAGGCCAGGACACCAATGAGGGAGTTTGCAGTAGAATCAGAGTCCAGTTGTTATACCACAAATGCCTATGATTCACAGAAGAAATATTCATAGTGCCCCTAGCCACTAAATACATACTGTCAAAAACTGCATTGTGATTAAAAAGAGACAGCTGGGCAACATTAGATACATGATATGAAATATCAAAATCAACCCTGAATTGTAAGTAAACTAGTTCTGAGATGGAATTCAAATCTACATTGTCCTCATAACCACTGAAGTTTGAGTTACATGCCTTAGGGTCCAAGACTATATTGTAAAAACTCACCTGATAGCAACAGGTCCTTGGATGGGTTGGAACCCATCAGAAAGGGTGGAAATGAAAGCTATACAATGCCAGCCATTTTGGGGAACAAAAACAAACCTAACAAAAAGAGAATCCCTGGTATTGCTGGGAAGAAACTCAGAGGGTGACCAAATGCTTGTCAAGCTAGCTCTGTTAATGGGAAACATTGTTCAAAAGAGTCCTTTGTTCAAAGGCCACCTGTGCCCAATAAGACCCAGCACAGCCCTTCTGTAAGTCTTCAGTGTTATTGTCCAAGGCCTCTAACTTCCCCAGTCTATTTTTCTTTTAATTTGTCTAGACATCAAAGTTACTTCCTGCAAAACAAAGAATATCCTCAAGCCCCACTTTCTTCCAAATAGCTTATTCATATGAATTCTACTGTTCCATACACATTACAAAATAATTTCTATGGCAAGAGGCTGATGCATAAACACAGGATTACAGTTTCTTTATAGCATTAAGCAGATGGAGAGCTGGGCTGTGAAGAATAAAGCTCTTTTGAAAATGATATCTTAAATATACTAATTGAAAAATAACGTTTATGACTGCTGAGTATGCTATGTAAAGCTATGTAAGCAAATTTTCAGTGTTCAACAAATAATGATAGTGGAAGATATATGGATACATATGGTCAAAGCAGTCAGTTTTATTATATTTTATATCAGTTTGCAAAATTGTTTACAAAGAGGTCATTGCCATGTTCCTACAGCTAAAGTGTAACATTTTTATAATTATTCTCAGAGCCCGCTTTACTCTAATTTAGAGCTTAATCTTGATATTAGATTCATAAGCATGCATTGTCTTATTTAGAATAAAAATCCTGTTTATAATAAAACTAGGAAAACATTAGCAAAATATAGAAACTCTGTTTTAAGCCCTTTTAGACCACTTCTATATACTGTCATTCTTAATAATGAATGCATTGCTGTGCTTCCACATTTATGACAAGTGGACTTGCTGATGACAACATGTACAACAATGCATTTAGGAAAAGCATCAAGCCATTAATGCTGGTGGGAGGAGTTTATCAATCAAACCATAGTATTGGTTTACATTGGGAAAGATGAATTCTAGTG